AAATAAATAAATAAATAAATAAATAAATAAATAAATAAATAAATAAATAAATAAATAAATGATCAGAGACCCGCCGCCTGCCTTGCCACTTGGCGCTGCTGGGGAAAGGTGCCCAGAAACCCGCTCTCCACTGCATACAATGGGCAGGCAGAGGACACAGAGACCACACTGCACGGGGGGAGGGGGCACCCAGAAACCTGCTTGCTGCCACCCTTGCCACACCACGAATGCCACAGAGGCGGTCAGTCAGAGGCCCACCAGCCACATGGCCCATCTGCAGTAGGAACTCCTACAACATGCAAGGAGGTGGTAAACAGACAGGAGGAAAGCAAAGCAGAAGTTTGAGCATGGTGAACAGAGATGGAGGTGGAGATAAGGAGAAGAGAAACAGCCCATTGTGAGGAGATGTCAGGGAAAAGAGGAACAGCCTATTGTGAGGAGATGTCAGGGAGCAGAGGAACAGCCTGTTGTGAGGAGATGTGAGGGAAAAGAGGAACAGCCTGTTGTGAGGAGATGTTAGGGAGCAGAGGAACAGCCTGTTGTGAGATGTGAGGGAGAGGGGACCAGCCTGTTGTGAGGAGACATGAGGGAGAGGGGTCCAGCCTGCTGTGAGGAGCCAGCCTCACTATCTGAGGCCATGGTTAAGTCTCATCCTGTGCCGCCACTGAGGACCATGTCTGGGTCGTAGCTATGCAGCAGCAGGGGTCGGTGTCCATGTGTGTGGCTCACATCACCACTAGACACTAAGGGGACATCCCTGGTCTGGGCAGCACCCAGGACCACGTAGATATCCAAGGACTGTGCAGAGCTGGCCCTGCCCCTCACTGGCTGAGGCAGCGTGGAGAACCAGCCCTATTTCTCGCTGGAGCGCTTGGGAGGGTAGATCCTGCACCTCATCCAGGCAGCACAGTGAAGCTGGCCCTGGAGGCAGGGACATGGGTAAACCGGCCCCAAGGGCATGATTGTGAGAGAGCTGACTGGTCACTCATCTGCCTTGAGGTGGCGTGTGTAAGGAGGTGATGCTCTCCCTGCCTTGCCCCATGCTGCCTGTGGCAGCCGGCAGAGTTGGCCCTGGGGGCACAAAAGCAAGTGAACTGGCCCTGCCCTCAACAGCTGCACACTTAGGAGGGCAGGCCCTGCACCTCACCTGGGCAGGACAGTAGAGCTGCCCCTGGTGGAGGGGGTACAGGCGAGCCTGCCCGGCTGTAACACTTGGGAGAGTGGGCCCTGTGCCTTGACTGGGCAGCACAGAGGAGCTGGCTCTGGAGGCCTGGCTGTGGTGAGCTGGCCCTTGACAGCATGAGAGCTGACTCTGCCTCCTGCTGATGTTGATGATGGCATTAGGTGGCCCAGCCAGAGCAGTGCTGGAAGGCTGGTCCTGATGGCGCAGATAAGGGAGAACTGGCAAGCTGACAAGCTCAGCTACTGGCCAGGCCCAGAGAAAGGGCTTTGAGTTGGCCTACCCCAAAACTAGACCATCTGTGAACTGTTGGAATGTGTAGAAGGGCCAGTCCTGCTGACCCAAAGCTGCAGGATCTCCATGACACAGGACAACAACAGGATAACTGGGAGGTTTCTGGGTGAGGACCTAGTACTGATGGTGTGATAGAAGCCAGAGGCCTCAAACTCTTTGCAACAAACATTTGCAAGTGAAGATGTGTGGACAGTGGGGTATACAAATCAATAAAAAGTTAAAACGAAACAAAAATAATATAAAAAAATCAAAAAAGTAAAATTTGAGTTTGCTATGTACCCAGCTGTATGTGCAGCCACATGAATGAGTAGTATGTGAGCCTCTGTCATAGCAAGACACCCTCCTATCTAAGGCGTGAGCCCGCCGTCCAGTTCACGTGGTATAGTCATAATCAAAAATAAAAACAGATAGATAGGTAGATAAATGAGAGATAATGATAGAGATTGATAGATGATAGATGATACATAGATAGATAGATAGATAGATAGATAGATAGATAGATAGATAGATATAGAGAGATAGGCAGAAGATAGGTAGATAAGTAGGTAGATAGATAACAGAAAGAAAGGAAGGAAAGAAGGAAGGAAGGTAGATAGATAGATAGATAGATAGATAGATAGATAGATAGATAGATAGAATAAAAATATCATGAACTGCAGTGTATTCCTGCAGGGAAAATGCTGCCTTGTTGAAAAGAACAAAATACATATTAATGAGATAAAAAGCAAAAAAAAATTGTTATTTTAATAGAAACTTTATTTCTCTTATTTCAATCCCCATGCTAGCCCAATTATACCCCACTTAAAATAATGCATCATATATGTATCGGGGATTATAATGGCGCCTTTAGAAAATCTAAGAAAGACATGAAATGAGCTACAGACATGGCCCTCAATGCCGAGATATCAAGGGCAGGCGGAGGAACGGCCGCACCACTGCACTTCGGATCTCTGGGTTCTCTCAGCTCCCTGCCTGAGAGTCTGGAACAGGAGACAGGACAGTGGCACAGCTGCGCCTCAGGCTTCACTGAGAGAATTTAAAACTGCTCTGTGCTATGGAACACATTTCATGTGTGCACATTCAGCTCTGTCTCCAAGCAGGGCTACTGATCTGCCTCCTCAACCCTCCTCTGCTCTGGACACTTCTCTCTGCTTCTAAACGATCACTCGCAGTCAGCTCAAAAGCAAACCAATGCAGAAAAGGGACACACAAAGCAAGGCCTTTGGCATGCTTACTGGGCATTTGTAAAGGTGGCTTTAGAAGGTTTGGGTAGTCGTCTATACAAAGCCTGTCGCTCGTCAGTCACATCTGCCAGCTCGGCTGGGTGCATCCCACAGAAGGGTGCAGTGTTAGGACGGCTCTGCGTCCGCAGAACTGACAAGTACAACACGCACGCTCAGTGTCTGGGTTTCCGTATTTGTAGATGAGGTTTTACACCTACTTCAAGAAACCATGCCTTGGAAATGTTCTATAACTCATTTAGATCAGTCAATGCTTTTATTATTTTATAGAAAAATTAAACTGTTTAGGCAAATGTACATTTGATTTTAATTGAAAAATATTAAACAAAAATTATTATGCTCGCAACTGTTCCAAAACCATGACAAAGTTTAAAGGACATGGGGAATGCCATGTCCACCCAGCAGGACAGTCGCAGCCTGCTGTGGCCTTGTAAGCGAGACACAAGCAAGGCTCAGACACTGAAGACCAACAACCTCAACAGGCTTTCTGCAGCAGCCTCCAATGCTGCAGACCCTGGACAGCTGCCCGCCTGCATCCCGGCGCAGAAACATGCCTCAAAGGCCGCCGAGGACTTCCATCAATGTTCTACTCTACTGTGATAGTAAGAAACAAGTACAGGTGGTACCAGAGTTATGCTAATCTGAGCTTGCCAAATATGGTTGCCCATGCTACCACCAGGCTGGCCTTGCTAAACAGAACACCATAGTTGGTGAAACCACTACACTGCATCAGCTAGGCAGTTCCAAACTAGACTAAACAGTTTTCATTCCTGCCAGACCCAGCTCTTCCCCAACATCCCTTTCCTGTGAACGTGCTGGCCTTTGTCCTGCCTCAGTAGCTTCCTCTCCTGGATGTACACAGACACACACACACAGACACACACACACAGATAGACATACACACACACACACACAATACATGCTCCTTGTCACTGTACTTTATATCCTGGGCATCTGTGGTATCTGCTGTGGTTCTGCCATTATCCACAGTGTTTGGAGCTATTAGCTCACCAACAGAATCTTGGGCTTTGAAGACAAAGACAGTTTTTCTTCTGAGATAATACACTATAAAGTCAGCACTCAAGATGTTCTTACTGAAATTTAATTTGCTCAGCATAATAGAATCTCCAGTTGAAGGGCATTTAAAAGTCACCTAGGCCAATCATTTACCCAGTGCTAGGATGACCAGACAGAAAGCTTACAGAGCAGGTTATTTTATAATAGAGCCAGGCTTGTGGCACAAGTGTATGCAATGACTCATGCTGCCTGTGTCTAAAGCCCAGGTTTGTCCAGTCAGATCGCTGTTCCATAATTTAACAATGCTACCACCATAAAAATGTTAAAAAGGCAGAAAAAGTTTTCCACATCAAGGGTATCCCATGATGAGCCCAAAGAAGAGAGGGGTATCACAAGTGCCAAGGGAACATTTCATTCCTTGTTCAGTGAGATAATAAGCCATCAGTGTAAAATCATTTGTCTGAACTGTATTTTTAAAAGCCATTCTCTGGGCTAGAGTTGTAGCTCTGTGGTAAAGAATTTGCCTAACATGAAAAAAGATCATGAGTTCAATCCCCAGCAACACACACACACACTCTCTCACACACCTGCATCCCCATAAAATTAGCATACATATGAACAAGCTATGCAGTTACTACTTGCATAGGCACAGCAGCTGTTACCTGAGTTGCAGAGCTGAAAGCAGAAGATGGAGCTAAGCGCAGTGTTCTGCCACAAAAGCCATTACTGGGCAGCCCTGCTACCCCTGCAGCTTCTGAGCTGCGCACAGCTCCCTCAAACACTGTTTCCGGCCACAACATAGCATGTGCTGAGGACTACAATCTTGGGAAGAAGGAGAAGAGGCAAACACCTTAAAAATTGTGCTTCTGCTGGAATGGCAGAAGATGAAGATCAGAGACTTCATTGAGCAAGTCAGCGGCTGGGCAGTCAGGGCCACCCAGACACGAGGCAGCCACACAGGGGGATGTGGTAGGGTGCCTTGGACCTGGCTGAGTTCTAGGCTGTGCATACAGACGGCGAACCTGCATAACATTGAAACATTATAACTGTCAAAAGTCCTTACACAGATCTAAATTTTAACCAGGAAGAGGAATTGTTGAACACCTTTGACACTCAGCATAGACTCTAAAAAGGCTATGAGCCACTTAGCGAGGTCTGAAAAAAGTCTAGACTCATCCTAACAAGAATCTAAAGAAAAAGCAATTAGTATAAACACATTTAACAAGACTGAACAATAAGAGATTAACATATAAAATCAACCCATTTCCATATGCAACAATGAACAGTCAGAAGTTAGTGTTCACAAGGGCATCAAAACACAAAGCAGCGATTCCATGGAGGTTAGACACAGAAGAACGCCCGGGAACTATGATGCATGGCCGGCAAAACTGCACACCTAAACGCAGAGCTGGTCACGCCTGCCAAAACTGTGCACCTAAACAGAGCTGATCTTGTTTCACGGTTTGAGAGACCTGATAGTGTCAGTTCTCTACAAACTGATAAATAGACTCAACTAAGTGTAGAAATCTCAGCAAGCATCCACACACATCTGGCCTGTGGCTGGGGATTCAGGGGTAGGTGAAACGGGGGGGGGGGGCGGGGGGAGGGTAGAAAATATAGAGAGAGGGAAGGAGACACACACTGTGAAACTTACTCAAAAACTCATGCAGAAATGCAAAGAAAAATAACGAAAAATAAGTGAGAATACTAACACCCTCTTTTCAGCACTTATTATAAAGATCTAATCATCAAGACAGAACAACTAGCAGAGAAACAGGAAAGATAAAAGGACTACAATAAAGAATCTAGACTAAAGCACGCAGATATGGCAACTGCCTTTTGACAGAAGCTCAAAGAAGGTAGAGAAGGAATTGCCTTTCAAAAACTGATGCTGAGGTAATTTAATAACCAGTGTGCATGTGCACACGTGTGTCACACTCAAACACACACACCAACACACACGCACACATACACCTCCGGGAGCCAGACTTGAGATGATATACAAAGGCTAACCCCCAGCGCGGCCGGCCCAGGGGCCCACCGGCTGCGCTTGCTCTTGGCTGGTGGGGAAATGTTACTTGCTCTTTTCTTCCAACTGTATCGAGTCTGATATCATGTCAAGGTGAAAGAATCATGAGGGAATGTTCTGAACAACGTCACAGCGATTAAGTTTGAAATTGCAGATGCACTGGACAAGCCCATGGGGACAGACAGCAAGATGACGCGGAGAACAGCGCATCAGAAACTCTGAATCTGAAACTTCCCTTCGGAAAGAACATCCCAGAGACGTCACCAGTAGGCGCTACCAAATGTTAGAAGTCATTCCAACTGGAAACAAAGTCTTCCAGAAAATAGCAATGCTCTTGGGAGACAAGAAATACGGGCCAAGGGCACAGCCCAGAGGCAAAGCCACAGAGAGCCCAGCTGATGCTGCGGCACTGCAGAGAAGCAGCAGACCTAGACCAGCACCGTCTCCCTCACCTCACCTAACTCCTGGCCCAGTCAGAAGCCTGAAAGGGTGGAGTCGGGGGCAGGGGATGGAGGGCCCACGGGGACAGGGGTCAGTGGGGCTCCAGAAACCTGCTTCTCTACCTGAACTGTGAGTTTATCCGCTGCTCACTCTATAAAACTCTAATAGTCAGGCCTAAACCCAGGTAAGTGCCAACACAGGAGATGGCCAGCCCTTCGCCTTACCGAGTCGCTGACGCGCTGCTGTGCCACTGCGCCTGCACCGACACATCAGCATGCTCACTGTAAATTATTTCTTCTGTTCAGGCGTTGCCTTATGCTGATTTTAAATATCCATGTAGGCAGACAGCTGATTTCAGCTCAAGATACAACCAGAGGCCTACGAAGTCCTGGCCGCAGAGGGCTGGAGACAACTTCCCCAGAGGCAGTCAGCCCTTGAGGCAGAAGCTAGAGCGTAAACCCCTTCCTGTGTCCTTGGTGCTCACTGTAGCACCAGGTAGCAAGTACTTGATGATTACGGAAGGAAATGGCAAAATCCTGCCAATCTGCGAAGCACATCTGGAGCTGTCCCCCTCTTGGATCTGACATGGCTCAGTACACGGCACGGCGGACACTTCTCTCTGGGCTTGCGTGAAAGCCACTCTGTCTCGAGGAAGCATCACAAGGACACAGTGGGCTTTCCTCCAGTCTTTAGAAATCTGTAGGTGCGTGTGTCTGTACATGTGAGTGCATGTGTGGGTCTGGGTGTGTTAGAGTGTGTAAGTTCATATGTGAGCGCTTACATATGTGCATGTGTGTGTGAGAGAGAGAATGAGTGTGTATAAGTGGATGCGTTCTCAAATGTGTCCATGTGCCTGGAGGGTGTGTGTGTGTCCACCCATGCACACATGGCGGGGGCACACAGGTGGACGCCAGAAGACAACCTCAATTCCTCACCTGCAACCATGCTGGCTGCTGCAGAAGCCAAACCAGCTGGCGCGTGACTTGTGGAGACTGCCCTGTCGGCTGGGTTAGGAGACCGCAGGGTCCTGGGGATCAGACCTTGGTGCCCACACAAGGGCAGCCATCCCTCACCCACCGAGTTGGCTCTTTAACCCGAGCTTTCTTCAGCACAAACCAAAGGACAGATCAGCAAATGCCCAGCAGAGTTTTGGACAAATGCCAAAATGCTGAGGGCTAGGAAGAAAGGTGTTCAGCTCGGTGCTCCACGAATCACCCCACTCAAGGGACAGCAGCATTCCCTAGCCTCTTTCATAGCCCAAGCCTAGGTCACAACGCACAACCTCCTACCCAGCCACCCACCTCACCAGCGATCAGGCTGCAGCACTTTAACTTACTGGCCTCAATTCTAGTTAAAAACGGTCTGGCACGACCACAAGCACCTGGTCCAACTCCTATCAGCTCTGCCTCTACATCGTCGTGACCACCACGGTCTGTGAGGCTCCCTGCCACCTTTTAGTAACAAGATAACGCTAAATCCTTAGTATTTTGGAGATGACAAATAACGAGGTGAAGAAATGCTCACAGCCCAGCTTAGGACAGGGCAGGCAGAAATCAAAACCTCCAACTGTGCTCCCTCTCCACAGTGCCCCTCCCCCGCAGCTCCTGAAGCCCCCTTCCCAGCCACGCTTGGCACATGGGGTTGAGGATGTGGGAGGCTGAGCTATATCTGTGTTTAGTGACATCCATGTGTCACTAACTGTCGCCAGCACCCGGGCACACTGCCCGTCTGCATTGCTTCTTGCCCTGTGCCTTGTGCCTTGCTGGCTGAAACTTATAGCTGAGCTCCGGCTAAATAAGGGTCACCTAGTATTCACCAACTCCAATAATAATTTCAAGAATAATTCAACATCTAAAGTGTGGAAATACGTCAGTGGCTTTAATTTTCATTATATCACTTGATTAACTGAGCGAGCACAGTGGCACAGATGCTAGCAGGGCTGGCAGGATTCAGAATGTGTCATGAGGGCAACCAGCACAGCAGCACAGCGAGGCAGCTTCTCACTGTCGGCAGATGCATGGGAAAATGGGAATGCCCACAAGTGAATCACCATGGGTGACACAACAATGTAGTTGAGCTCACTGGGACCCTGGACTGTGCATTAGAAATAGCTCCTATGTAGCAGAGTTGCTAGGAGACCAGCTCATTTATCTATACTTTCTTAAAGTGGTGAAAAGAAGAGCAGACAAATTATGGTGGGCCCTGGGGAGTTCCCCTCTACTTCAGAGAATTAGTTCTCCCATCAGGTCTATTCACTCCAGAACACAGGCACATGCAGGCTTCTCCAGTGTTAACCTGGGCACATTCATCTCTACAGCTGGGAAGTCACTTTAAAAAGTCCAGAGGCATGACACAGGCCAAATCCAACACGATAGTAACTGTTTTGTTACTCATACATGGGGAAAACACCCTCCATCCCCGCAATAAATACAAATAATTCTGAACATCACAAGCACAAGGCACGCGGAAAAGCACATAGATCATCTTTATTAAACTCACAGCAAATAAACTTTGATGTGATGAGCAACTGCCAATTTGCTCAAGCAACAGAGACCTGAAAATATCAAGTACCATACTTGTTTTTAATTCTGCTGTGGCTTTTCTCTGGGGGCAGGGTCTTACTGTGTAGCCAGGCTGATCTAGAACTTGCAACCCTACTGGATCAGTCTCCCAGTTGTGAGGATTACCAATGGATACCACCACGTGCTACTTAAGTTCTGCACTTTGCAATCACAGAAAGGTCTTTGAAGAGGAAAACGGCATGGAGGCTCCTTCCCATTGGCTTTCCCTCTGTTAGCTTCCCAGTAGAAGCCAGCGTGTCAGTAGCTTCCTCAGGTCTCTGACAGCACTGCAGCTCTAGGACAGGAATGAGCAAAGCCACCATGAGCAGCGCAGGACTGCTCAGCATGCTGTCTACAAAGACATTCTATCCATACTCCCCACCTGAAAGAAAGTGAAGCCAAAACAACACCCTGAAATTGCGTGTGGGTTTGCTTCTGTTGTGTGGAAAGCATTCACAACCACCCCATACCAGCCAACAAGAGAAAGAAAAACAAAAGCCATTAAAATGGTTTTATGGGTCTATTATTACAAATTTCCAAAATGACTTATATTAGGCACTCTGGTTTTTAGGAAACTGCAAACACATTCTGTTCTCTGCACCGGGAGCTCCAGATACACACATTCAATCGACCACAGATCTGAAATACTCTAAAAATAAAAGGATCGTGCTGATTATGTGCAGATTTGCCATTACCCGTAAATAGCTGGTATAACAAGCGCCTACACAGCACTTCCTTTGTAGGAGGTGCCGCGTGGCGCAAGCCTCGAGACACTGCAGTGTGAGAGGAAGGCCTGAATCGCTTACACACATCACACCATGCCTGAGCAGGGCAAGCGTGAGGACTTGTGGACTTTGGAAACAACACTGCAAAACAGGAGCATTTTGTGCCGTCGAGTGGAAAGAACGGAATGCAAGCCACAGCGGGTGTCAGAACCGAGAGTTTCACCAGGGACGCAAGTGGAATGACCTGCTTCTAGTCCAGGAGACCCTAGCGCCATCTGAGGAACTGGTCCCTCACTAAACAAAGCACTGGAACTGGGTGACACAAGTCCAGAACACCATGCACAACAGAAGCACCTTAAACAGCAGCGTGTGCTCTCAGTAAGACGGCTGTGCCAAAGCTCGACGAACTAAGGCGCTCAGCTGAGGACAGGCCACTTCTCCCAAGGCGTCTCTGCATGATGCGTGCTCTCCACCCCTCTCCTGGACAAATTCTGGTTTTGTTAGGAATCTCTCATGAAGTGGAGAGAAGGGTGGAGGGACTATGGTTTCCTGGAGAAATGAGTCTGTACTCACGTGACTCTTAGACTGACACTCTGGCCAGCTGTGCTGCTAACCCTTCAATTCCAGCACTTGGGAGGTAGTAGCAGGCAGATGTCTGTGAGTTCAAGGCCAGCCAGGGCTACATAAGTTCTCAGAAGGTTATGTTAGTGACACCGTCTGGAACCTCAAAGTATTTTGCAAAAATGTGTATTTATTAATGATGAACCTGTAAAGGGACTTAAAAATAAAAAGGAATATTGTAACTTCACAGTGTGCAGAGCTGTGACAGCCAAAGGCCGGTGACGAAGCCACCTTCACAGCACATGGCTCATATTCCTCGGCACAAACAACACAGAAGGAGAGTCCCCAGTGCCTCTGAATCAGTTTTGAAGGTTTCATTAGACCTGGCAAAAACCAACTTCATATAAGTCTACACTCAGCCGCAGCCCTGGGACATGTGGCTTTTGTCTTTAGCTCAGCAGCCTGGAGTCAGCATCCCTCGGGAAGGCAGAGGAGCTAAGGCCGGAGCAGAGGCTCCAGCTTGAACTGGCGGGAAGGCAGTTACGGCTCCCTCGCAGATGGCGAAGTGCTTAAGTACCTCTAATTGCCCCAGAATCAGCTAATCTTAAAGGAGGGAAATAATGGGTGCCTCGTGGGAAGAAGCAAAGAATTTAAAGCAACAGTTTCTGCCCCCAGTGGACAATGGTAACACTACACACGGAAGCACAGAGCGATTCAGAGTTAGCACTGGCCTGACCACATGGTCACACTGAGTTGCCACAGGCAGCAGAGCAAGCCTGGGAGACGGCTCAGTGCTGCTCCACGGGGAGAAGCCAGCACACACAAAGCCAGGCAGAGTGGCGTGTCTGGAAAGCAGTGCTTGGAAGGCAGAGTTAAGTGGATCCCTGGGGCTCACTGCCCACCAGGCTAACGAGGTCAGCAAGCCCCAGGTGATAACAGGGGAGACCTTGTCTCCAAAACCAAGGTGAGTGTCTCTTGAGGAAAGACACCCAAGGTTGACCTCTGGCTTTCACATGCATAAACACCAGACATGGGGGAAGGTCGGGAGGGGAAATGCACTGTGTGTGCTTGTGAGAAAATCATGCTGCTGTGCCATACACTGAGCCTTTGAATGCACCTACAGTAGACTGCTATATACCATGCTTAGACTGGATGCTTATGCTCGCCAAGAATCCAGCATCCATGTTGGTTTCTGGATTCTGGATGTCCTTGGAACAAGCCAAGTGTACCACCTCGATTTTCTTCTCTTCACTAAACAGCAAACCCTTTTCATTTTTCTTGTATTTTGTTTTATAATTTATTCACTTTACATACTGATTGTAGCCCCTCCCTCGTCTCCTCCTGGTCCCTCCCTTCCTCTTCTATCCTTTTCCCCCTCCCCTAGTCCTCAGAAACAGGGAGCCCTCCTCCCCTAACCATCTGACCCTAACCCATCAAGTCTCATCAGGACTTCCTCTTCCTCTGTGGTCTGGCAAGACCACCCCTCCAGGCAGAAGTGATCGAAGATGGGACAACAGATTCAATGTCAGAGGCAGTCCCTGCTCCCCTTACTAGCACCCCCACAGAGTCTGAGCTGCCATGGGCTACACCTGAGCAGGGGTTTAGGTCCTCTCCATGCATGGTTCTTGGTTGATGGTCAGTCTCTGCAGGACCCCCAGGGCCCAGATTTGTTGGACTTGGTCTCCTTGTGGAGCTCCTGTCCCCTTCTGGCCAATCTGTCCCCAACTCTACCATACAGCAAAGCCACCCTGTTACTCTCCCATGCTCTGGAGCTTCCAAACCCTCACCTCCAAAAGATGGACAACAGTAGGTATTCAATATAAATTGTGTACATAAAGCAGATGGAAGGCAAGCACAAGAGGTTTTCCTTGGTATGTGTGAAATTAAACAGGCCACAGCAACTCTGCAGCTCTAGGACATTGCTGTGTGAAAAGGGAGGACACTAAAGACAACTCTCCTGAGGTTAGGGCCCTGGTGTGGCTAATACCTGACAAGGGTGGCTCATCTACTGGCCTCCCAAATGATGCCTGCATACATCCACCATTAGAAACTGTTAGGGATCTGCGTTCCCGACCACACAGAGACAATATCAGCTTAATACAAAGCTGACAGTCTTTCACACAGGCATGAGGAGTGGCTATGTGTGTAACTCTTCACTTTTCTGTTATAACTGTAGACAGTTAGGCAATAGCTGGAGACTCCCAAAGACCTCCTGGGTCCTCCTTCTGTCCCCCAACCTGTCGGTCCTTTTTGGATGGCATGAGATCCCCTTCAGGTACTTGGGACTTAGTGAAAAGCCTGGCATGACTTGTTAGATGAAGATTTGTTTATTTGTATTTTAGGTGCACAAGTATTTTGTCGGCACATATTTATACACACACGAGTGGTGGTGCCAGCAGAAGTCAGAGGCGTTAGACCTCCTGGAGCTTGACTTACAGCTGGCTGAGAGCCATCACGTCGGCGCTTAGAACTGAACGTAGGTCCTCCACAGGAGGAACAAATGTCCTTAACCACTGGGCCACTTCACCAGTCCTGTTGGTAAAGTTTAAAAAATACATAGCATATCTTCCAACACTTCTTGTATCAGAAATTTAAAATGAACAC